GAGGCAGCAGAGCGCTCACCTCCTATTCCGATAGCAGTAGAACCAGAGCCTCCGCCAACGTTCTTGACAACCTCCTCGTCATCATTAGCAGAGGCAGCTGCAGATGCATCGACGGAGGCGACAATAGAAGTAGCCCTAGTCTTCCGCCTCTTGGTAATGACCTTAGATGCAGTAGCCCCCTTCCTCTTCCTCGCCTCCGCCATAGCAGTTACATTCTTGGCAGCATCATTCCTTGCCTTGTCCTCTATGGACTTATGCACCTTCGCAGGAACATCATGTTCCTCGTGGTGGATCCTGAATTCCTCAAAAACTCTATTAAGTCGGGGCATCATACCAGTGATGGCCTAGCACGCTAGATACTCCCTGTCGGACACCTCACCAAGTATCCCACGTGCCCCAGCCTCGGCGGACTTCACCAACTTCTCCACAGCCCGGCCCTCCTTCTTCTCAAAACCAAAGCACGGGAAGGAACCATGACACCTTCGCCAAACATAGGCAGACTAACCATCTCAATGGTCATGGTAGGCCTGTTCCTACTGAGGGGCTAGCAGTTAGCCGCCACCATCTCCTTGACCAAGTCACGACCTCCAGAGTATCGGTAGGCTAGAGCGAAGGCCCTGTCGCATGCTTCACAACCATCCTTAGTCCTCGGACTTGGGGTTCCCTAAGTCAGAGGCCTCATTAGAGTCATCACCGAGGCTAGCGGATAGCGGGTATTCTTCTTCCCGTCTAAGCCGGTAGATGTCATGCCTCCGGTCCTCACGTAGAACTAATACTGCATCCAATCCTTTGACCACTTGTTCTTCTGGGCGAAGAAGATCTCCAACTTCTCGCCCTTTTGGGCCCTCCACAGCATAAAAGCGTAGCTCCCATACTGTGCCACCAGCTGATCTTTGCCAACTCACTTAGGCTAGCGCTGGAGCTCGTAGTAATCACAAAAAGTACCAACATTAGGCTCCACGCCATAAGACAAGGAGGCCCAACAAAACTTACTCAGGGTAACTATTACATTGGGCGTTAGATGGTGAAGTTGTACCTCAAACACCTCCAACACCTAGCGAAGGAAGCGTGCCGCCAGGAAGCGAAGGCCACAGAAAAAGAAATCCCTAAAAACCAAGGCATCAGCGGCCTTTGGCTTAGGAATTGTCTCCCCCTCTAGAGGCTTCACCATAGCATCCCCAAAGCAGCCCAGCTATCGCAACTCCTCAATCATGTCATTAGTCATGAGAGAAGGCCTGAAATCCCACGTCTTGGATGTGCCAGCCATGTCTCCTGCCTCTTCAGCGGTGATTAAGTTTGCGACGGAGGCCTGAACTCTAGAATGATCCTCTTCAAGCCCCAATGCCTCCGCACTAACAATCATGCACTCCTCAAACTACACAAACCACCCACTAGACCTAACACAAATAAGGCGACAGTATGGCCCAAAGAAGGAAGTCCAGCGTGAAGGAGGGCTGACAGGCGTAGCCACTTCTAAAACTTAGAAATAGCCCAAGAGGGGAGAGAAGGCAAAAACCAACTAGGCAAAAGCCGGGTGGAAAGGGACAGCATAGGAAGCAGCAGTAGTGAAAGTGATGGCTAGGATAGGGATGGGGGGCCTTCACCTACCATCCCTTATATACCCCGTAGCGACGCTTTGATTTCCGGGGCCACTGGTCACACCCATTCAAAAACACGTCGTTTCTGCAGCCACCGCGGTGAATCAAATAACGACACGCCACCAACGCAGCGGTCTGATCCAGGTGTCCTAGGGGGGAAAGGGGGGAAAGCCTTTGTGTTCGCAAGAGCCTTCGCACCTCAGAGCCTGAGGACTAGGTTTCATGGGAAAGGCCCGCATGGGGGAAGCCTCCGTGCCACAGAGCCTGAGGACAATGTTTTGAGGGCAAGGTCGGCCAGCATCAGACCAAGCCCTCAAGGGGGGAACTGTTTGGACACGGTTATGAGTCACGGAGGCCAGGGCCCACAACAACAATGAAAGCCAACAATTAACGAATTTTATGAGTGATGTGCAGGAAGAGAAGATGAAAGCCTCCGCCCAATCGGCCGATTAGGGCAAAGGAGCAGAGGATGTGGCAAAGGCACCCAAATGTGGTGCGAGGCAGAGGCTCCGACGCCCTAGACGGAAGCTTCGATGCCATGAACAGAGGCTCTAGCAACCAGAGCGAAGGCGCCTGGATGCATTCAATGGTGAAGGCTCGGGCGGCACCCATGGAGGCTACGGAGAGTTGGTGCACAGGTACGGGCGAAGGTCGCCCTGGATGAAGGCCCCAAGAGTCGAGGGACTTCCTGAAGGACAACGGTGCTGGCTTGTGGGCCACAGATGAAATCTCGGTTGTGGCCCATCAAGCAAAGGCGGTTGAAGGTGAAGGCACCCAAATTACCCTTAGCAGTTTGTATTAGTATAGGAATATTCTGAGGATGTACTATAAATATCAAGGGGTAAAATTGTAAAACAGTAGCCATAGCAAGCGGTGCCCTATAAAAGGAGAACACAAACTCTGTACAAGGGGAGGCAGTTGAATGCATTTATGAAACCCTAGTTTGGTCGGAACCCACTTTTAACCTGACATGCCTTCGCCCGAGACACCTGTCCGGGCGAAGGCTTCGGCTATCTCCTTCTAGTCCCACTTGCTAGAAACCACCGTTTTCCAATAGAAAACATCAAATCAACAGACTCTCTAGGAATCTACACAAAGTTCTCATACTCTCAATAGTGGGTCTCAAAGGCCTAGTCTTAACATGGGACATGCTCTCGTGATACTTCTAAAGAGTGAACCATATCTCATGAGCCATCATAAGATTTGAAACATGATCAAACTCAGGCAGAGAGAGATTCATGAAAAAGCATTTTAGGCCTTACTGTAGCCTCATGTTAATCAATTTGGAGCTGATCAACCTGAGCCGCTAAGACCATATGTAGTCCTGAGCGAAGCAAATGTCCCAAACTTTCGAATTGATGCTCTACAAGCAAGTAGACATCTAAACCTTCCAGTAGGGGTAGTTAGTTCCATTGAAGAAGGGAGCCTTACTACTACCTCGCTCCATGTCGCCTTCATGGATCAGGAACTGGTTAAGGTAGAATGATCCTACTTGCTCTAATACCAATTGAAGGACTGAGAAAGATGACCAAAGCGGGTGTGAATGGTAGCTAAATCCAATTTTCTTCTGATTTTGGCCTCCGTCCTAGATTCAACCCCAAATCTTCAAAAACTGCTCAACAAGCTCACACAAGTCAACTAGTGACTAGATGAACCCTATGCTGCAGCAAAAACACACCGGAGAAGGTGCGGAAGCAAATCGAGCAAGACCCAACAAGAAATCCGATTTGACAATTCAAACTGGACTAGTCCTGTGTGCATATCCGACATGTCCGGTATGAACCTGACAGTGCACATTAAGATAGCTCACAAAATGGTGTCCAAAAATTGTGAAATTTTAGACATAAGCTCACAACACATTAAGATAGCTCTCCACCAAAAGTCTGCTCAAAATTCTAAATTCGAAAATACTGGACCTAAGCGAGCATACCAGACCATCACACTAGACCGGTCCGGTATGAATCAACATGTGGGATTTTTCTTCAAAAATTCAAATCTGATTCAAATCAACTCAGATTGAACTCAAACTTTGTAGGGGTGTTCCAGAGGTGTTGAGATGATATTCTTAGAGCATCAATACCCAAAACTCACCCAAACTCCCACGATCCTAAAATCCATCAAAGAGGTTGGGGTTTTCTCAAAATGCCTCCCAAGGGTGAATTTTCATGCTCGTGATGAATATAGACAATTCATCACTTGGTAGATAAGATCATTAGAAGTCCTAGCACATATCCAAACCCTAAAAACAACCCAAAACTCATTGGAACATAAGAGCCAACAAAAACTCACAAGAGAAGGGGAAAGGGAGAGGAAGAACCAAGCAAAACAAACATAAACAAGAACTCACATCTTGAGCCACAAATTTTAGAGGACAACTTGCTTTATTTCAGGCACCAATAAGATCTGGTTCTTACAGAGATCAGATTACACAGCAGAGGAAACACTCTCTACACTGCAAATCTCAAACACAGGGAAAACTAAGACCGTCTATTCCTGGAAACAACCTAGTGACTTAGACAAAAGCTAATGTAAGAGATGGCTGGTTGGGGCAGCCTCCTATCTTATTTATAGAGCTATTACACATTCTCAACAAGCTCTTAGATATTTTGGCTGAACCACTTAACCCAAGGGCGAAAGGGTCTAACTTGAGATCTGTGCATTTGACGACCATGAGCTCCTCACGACTTTGTTTCACCTCGACGCAAGCTTTGCGATGACACCACATGCCGCCTCCAAGTCCATCCAGAACTCCAACCGAGTTTGGAGGCCCAAACCACCAAACCCCATGGAGAAGCATATCTGCTTTGCCTCCTCCACGATCTAAACATGTGTCGCCGTTGTCCTTGACCACTCGATCACCAAGTCCTCCGGCACCTCTGCTTGACTTGGTCAACACGGTCTACTCCTCCACATGTACTCTTGCTTGTTGATGCCCCCAAGTGTCAGCCACCCATGGTCAGTCTTCCGACCATCTTGGTTCCTCGGTCCAAGCCTCACGTCCGTCCTTCACCACTCATAGTCCATTGGCACGACACGTCTCTACTTGACCTTCTTCATGTCCATCGACCGTCTCTGTGCTCCACCCTTGCACACCAACACAGCTAATAGACATGTTGCCCACACACTCACGCTAGTCTCAAACTCAACCAAAGTCGATCATCTCTTGACAATCACTCATCACAACTCGATACACGAGGGCACATATCAACCTTGTGTTCGCATGAGCAAAAACATAAGTCGATTGGGATAATATAGTAGTTAGCTCACATTATGTCTTTGGAAGATTGTCATGTTGAAGTATATTCGTATAGGCGCGTTGCGAGCTCTTATATTACAATCGAATATCCACACATGAAAGGAAAAAAAATCGTTCTAGTCAAATATATATACTCCATGTGCGACCTAGATCTCATATGTCATTCCAACCTTGAGTAGTTGGCCTCTTGGAATGTATAGCATCTTCTCTCCATTTCTTGAGTTTTTCCTTAGGAAGCTATAGACGTAGTTCACAATAATCTTCTTTAACAAGTTTGAATGAGGCTTGGCTACTAGTTCACTCTCCCCAATTATATAAACAACACCATTGTCCACCTCGCGTTGGATTATCTTTTGATCCTCCTCGATCTTCAACATCTCCTCCAGGTTCATTTTCCCTGTCTGTTATCAGAAAAGAGTATATATGATTAGCACACAAAGAAATGAGAAAATGAAATTTTGAATAACGTTGTTAATTTCTAGAAAAACAAAACCCATGCTGTATGAATTTATCACCTGGAAATGTGCCAATCTACTGCTCATGGAGACTGGATGCATTGTGAGCTCCGAGAAGGATTGGGCCGGTGTAAGCATCTCCTCAGCATAGATGGCATGTCCTGAGGGCTTCCTCTCCCAAGAAAAGCTGTCCACCCGAGCACTATGGAAGACAATCTTCAATGGTTCATCACCACCAACTCCATAGAGGTTTAAGTCCCTGACATAGTACTGGAGGTACTCAACTAGAATTTTAACAAAATCACCGGCCGTTTCGAGTGCGTCATGGTACCCATATCTTGCCACACAACGGAACACCATGAACTCTTTGGGCTCCACTTGGCGGAAGAGGAAGCGCTCCATGACATCGACATGGGGTACTGGCAAATTCTTCACCGTGATGAAGACAATCACCGAGTGGATGGTAGGGATCTTCTCAATGAGGTGAGGGAAAATAGGCGGGATGCCTTGCACCAGTTCGGTGTAGAAAAGCCCTAGGCCTGGAACTCTCTTTAGGTCCCGGCGCTCGAGCAGATCTTTTGCCTCGTCTCGTGACACAGTGTGCTCAAGCTCGTACTTGTACCGCTTGACATGCACGTAGTGCCACACGATCATGATGAACATGAGAACAGCCGACATGGCCACTGGCACATACGGTCCATGGGTGAACTTATACAGGACTGCAGCTGTGTAGATGGACTCTGTAGACATGAAGACAACGAAGAATATGGCTATCCACCAGATGTTTACCTTCCACACGAGGAGCATCACTATTGTCATCAAGAGAGTTGTGATAACCATCACAAGGACCACACAAATTTCTGTTTGTACAGGTAGAAACATATATAGTAAGTGATGTGTATTTGTATGTGTATAAAATGAAGCCATGCATTCTGTGTGCAGAAAATATATATTTAAACTTTTGCTTCAAAAAAAAATGTTTAGACTTGTTACCATGTGCTTTGGCTATGAAACCAGTTGTCCTGAAGCTTATGGTTACAACACAAGCTGCAATGCAGAGGAAGATATTCACTTCAGGGCTGTACAGCTGGCCTGAATAACGCCTTGATGTATGCAGTATCTTAACCCTTGGGAAACAGTTGAGTGCCTGTAAATGCGACATGGTTGCAAAGGCACACGAGACCATAGCCTGGCTTCCAATGACTGATGTGATGAGAGCTAGAACAAAAGTTGGCCAAAACAAAGATGCTGCATCACACAAGACAATATCCATTACATACTCCTTTTTTGGTTAATCGAATAATCAAGAAATTAATAGCAAAAGCTACTATTTGTAGTCACATACTTGGAATCGATTCGAAGAAAATGTTAGGTATGATATCAGGCCTGTCCATGTGTTTCCTCAGGTACGCCGCTTGCCCAATATATGTGAGCAACACTGAAGGCAATAAGCTGAAGGTGAAGCTTAGCTGGAAGACAAAAACAAGGTTCCTTAAATGGATATGGTAGAACTTGCATAAGTTTAAGTACTGATCCATTAATTTTCATAGTAGTGATATAGTAAGAAAATTAATGTACACTGCATGCAAAGAAATATATATAATCCCATCCCCAGGAGCATCACACAAGGTCATTTTTATTCTTTTTACTTTAAGAAATGATCAGAACAGCTGTTTCTACCTTTTTATTTACAGTATCTAAATGATCATGTGTACCTGTATAGATCTGATGCTGAAGTATCCCAGATCAGCAAAAAGAGCTTCAGTGCCTGTCAAAGAAGCACAGCAAACCTTTATAAACAAATGTAGCTAGCATGAACAAAACTACAAGAAGACATCATAAATGCACATACCTGTGAAACAAAGAAGAATTTCACCCAATGAGACCCATCCTTTCTTTTTGTTCCTTCGGAAATAGTCAATGATATATTTGGCGTTGAAAGCCTTCAATGTGCTAATGTCGTACTTGACCGTGTTATAGATCCCGATGCCGGAGATGAGGAGGAGCCACACAAAAACCACCGGTGCAAATGTGTAACCAATTTTGTCGGTCCCAAAGCGCTGGACCGAAAAGAAAACCACCAAAATGGCCACTGTGATCCATACCATTGCATCTGTGTTTGTACAAGTAACCATATGTGTCAAACATTAATTAATTAATAACTCTGCATGATGCTGGATATTTTTGGCCTTAATTTTCTGAATATACTATAAGAATTTTTCTTAAGGAAAAACAGAACACGTTATCATGTGGACTAGTTTGATTGACCTATTCAATTAGTCAACTTTCAAGTTAAGTAGTTAGTATCTTGCGGTGCACGTACTATCTGTGAGTTTTCCTTGGGAAATTGGAGACAAAGTGTTGACACCCAAAATTATCCAAAGTGCATAATGGACTCCACTACAGAGTATATATCTGTATTTAGAGAGGGGTGACTAATATTTGCCGCAATTAATGACACAAAGTCTTGTCTCCTGATTTTCCTTCGCATCTCTTCCAAATACTCCATATAATACTAACATCACTAGACTATATTATATATGCGAGCAAAATATATGCATTCTACAATTATACGTACATAATACGTGGCTTTCAGCATTACTTTACCTGTAGTCAGATGAGGTGCTCTCAACTTGAGTCCGTTGACAGCCGCAAGTACTGAACCATTAAAACATGCAAAGAGTGATCATGTCAGGCCCATCCAAATGCCAGGCGAACAATATTTCACATGAACACAGAGTGATCATGCATGTCATGTATACATGCATGCATCTATCTATTTATGTATGAGCTATATGGTACGTACGTACGTACCTGATATCGGAGGGGTTAGCATGGAGTCGCTGATGGCCAGCGCCGTGGCAAGGATGGTGAGGAAGAAGAGTGAGATCTTTGCTGCCTTGCTCGTCTCCAGCAGGTTCTTGATCCACTGGGCTCTCCGAAGCGTCGCCGACGGCTTGCCGCGGTGCTTGTACCTTGACACGAGCTCATCTTCTGCCTGCTGGTTTGGGATGAGGCACACCTTGGCGTACCGCGAGATCAGCGAGTAGAGCGCAAACGTGCCACCTGACGGATCGACACAGAATCAAACGTGTCAATGTCGGCAGTAGTTATTACCACCACAAGCTATGCAAGTTTTTCTCCTCTGCAGCTAGATAGCTATTGAACACGTCTAGTTTGATGGTGATACTGCAACTAATGCAGGCTCGATCGAGCGATGACTTGATCAAATCAAAGCTGCTGGTGGATCTAGTGTCAAAGGCCGTTTGCATGCACTTGCGCGTACGTACCGTCACCGTCATCGTTGGCGTAGAGCGCGATGAAGACGATCTTGATCATGGTGAAGAGAATGAAGCTGTAGATGATGATGGACAGCACGCCGAGGACGTCGTCCTCATGCTTGACGCCATACTTGAAGGTGTTGGCGTAGACGTAGAGCGGCGACGTGCCGAGGTCGGCGTAGAGGATGCCCACGCACTGGAACGCCAGCCGTAGCGTCCGAACCCAGCTCTCCTTTGTAAGGTGTAGGGTACCCATGCATGCATGTACATTCAATCATCAGATTATATACGTACGTTGGCAAAACAAGTTGCTCTTATTAATCCCAGGACCAAGTACGAGTATACTAAATTGTGGAGAAGCAGTGAGCAGCGTAGCGAGCTGGTTTGCCATGCCATCCAGCGACCAGCATGCGGGTACCTGTCCGTGGTGGCCGGCGTGCGCTGGCATGGTGGCGTCGCGGTAGAGCGAGTCCTGGCGCTTCACGTCAAACGGCGGCAGCTCCAGCTCCAGGTCGCGGCCGCTGCTGTAGCTGTAGGGGACGATCTCCATGCTACCACCACCCCGGCCGGCGGCAGCCGTAGCATGCTGATGTGCCATCTTCTTCTCGGCCGCCGGCGTCGTCTTAGCTTCCTCTGCTGCGGAAGAAGAGCCTCCTCCTCCTCCTCCCTCGAAATTATAGGCCGGCGGCAGCCGGCTCGATCGATCACCACCTCACGCTGCGGCTGTGCAGCAGTGCGTGTACAGCCTTTGGCTGTTTGCTTCTTCCCAGCTGCTCATGTCACTAGCTATGAGGTGCCTTTTATAACCATCCAAGCCAACCGACCTATCTAGCCATCGTCTAGCATGTGGAGCTCCTGCTCCCAGTTTTCAGCGTCGTCGCAGCCTGAGAACTGTTAATGGGCCTGTTGTGCTCGGAAGAATTCTGGAGGAATTTAGATGGTTTGGAAGAATGCTAGAAAAATTTATGAGAGAAAAACACAGTTCTGGATGAAAAAAGAAATAGATCAAGCCAGATTTAAGGACACACTCCAGAAAAAAAGACTTTTTAACCACTTGCGACTTACATATATAATTGCTGTTACTCGTACTAGTAGTTACGTGCCGTAACAGCATTGGTAACTAGGAGGACCTATCTTCGTCCTGTCCTAGCTGGTTCCGTTTCCATGAGAGGTTACTTAATTAGTCTGTCTGCTGAGCCTGCAGTGGTCGTCAATCTTGACTCGATCCACGCTGATCGATCAATCTAAAACGGGTACGCGGAAGTCGCGGCTGCGCTGCCAATGATGTACGGCGCTAGCTGCCTGAGGCGACGTACGTGCCGTGTCTACGATGGGAGTGGACTGACCGAGTGATCCAAAATGGAGAAGGGTCGTCGTGCCTGTGATCCTCTATACATCCATCGTTGTCAAGACAGCTCTGATCTGACATTTCATATATATAGACTACGACGCGTGATCAGGGTTCAACAAACTGTAAAAAAAGTATACTATTCTAGAGTTTTGTGAGATACTCCTAGTATCTTTGGGCCCCGCACCTGGACTTTTGGCTAATATAATACCACTTGTATTGGCGGCTACATGCATGCATGCGTATTAGCATGCGTACGCACTGTCTGTCGACCAAGATTAATTCAATCTGTATGTCACCACGATTTCAGATCGATAAGCCGTGTTGGATCTCAACTGTATTGTATTCCATCCTTCTAGCCATATATATATATACGCGATCATGGTTACGTTCAACAAACTGGAAGTAATCTAGTGTTTTGGGAGATGCTATCTGTGGTTGCCGTACGTGAACTTCCGGCTACTTGGCTACATGCACTATTAGAGAATAGACTTTATAACGATGTTCTAATTTGGCATTAGCCTCGGCATTTTTTGTCGCCGGGACTAAAGGACCATTTAGTCCCGGTTCATAATACCAACCGGGACTAAAGGTCCCTGCCCAACGGTCGTCCGTGTAGCAGGGATCTTTAGTCCCGGCTAGTATTTCCAACCGGGACTATAGTCCCGGTTGGTAATACCAGCCGAGACTAAAGGTTTTAGCCCCGGTTTAGGTGATACCCTGGAAATAAATATTAATCTTTAGTCCTGGTTTAGCCACCTAACCGGGACTAATTATGCTGGCCTATACAATGGCTCATTTCTTCCTCCCGAGCCCGAGCCATTCCATTCAAACTCACTGCCTCTGTTCTTCAGCTTGCTGTTGTTCTTGCTCTCTCCCCCTCCATTGGTGTTGCTCTTCGATTTTGGAGGTAACAAACTTAATCCTCTTATGTTTTATCAGTAGCTTATCTTATTTTGCGATGTAGATGCATGTGTAACTTTATATGTTGGACTTTATTATGATTTTATATGTCATTTTTAGCTCAAAATCACATGATAATTTGCATATATGTTTGGATAAACAAAAGTTAAATTAGTTCATCAAAATCACGCCTCGCTCGTCCTCGCTGGAGCACGCGCCATCCTCGTCCCCGGCGGCTTACGTGATCTTAGAATTAATTTTTTCATGAAATGAAAAACTTAGAAAATAGTTAGAAAATTGTAGAAAATCCGTACTAGTTGAACTTGCGGACCGTGATCATCTCGGCGAGCATTTTCTCTGCCGAGCGGTAACGGACATAAGGAGGAGCTTTGATTCTCACGAGGGAGAGCGGCAACGGTCGTGGAAGACCGTATATTTCCTCCTCGAGAATCGGAGCTCTTCCTTGGCCAAGCACGGTGCCGTCCGGTGGAGAAATGCTCACGAGATGATCACGTAAGCAAGGTCAACTAGTACGGATGGTTATTTATTGAAACATGTTTTTGAGCTATGTGATTTCTATGTCATTTTAGCTCAAAATCACATGATGATTTACAATAGTAAAATCACTTGATAGTTTGGTATTTTACTATTATACATAGTACATATTTCATGGTTTAGTTAGATAAATAAATAATTTTAGTTTTGTTTAAATATATTATTTTAGAAAATGTGAAATTTACAGTAGTTTGCAAAAATAAGTATAGAAAGTAGATGACAACTGGTACCGGATCCTCGACCTCTCGTTCGGTTGCGAAACGACTGAGGCCAGAACTCCCTCTCATTATCTGCGGCAAGTGTAAGCAGAAGATTGTGATGGAGTACCAAGTCAAGAGACAGGGACCCAACAAGGGTCGTGTTTTCTACAAGTGCCCAGATCGCGATGTGAGTTTCTTACGTATTTGATTATTATGGCTAATTGACCTGCTTTTCTTGAATATTTTTGACTAAATATTTTTGGCTTTAATTTTGGTGGGAGGGCAATGGATGCGATGGTTGGTCTTGGGAGGAAGATTATGCTATATATGTGCGAGAATTGATCTGCTGGCGATGAGGCGGTGAGCCAAATAGGAGAAGCTTATAGATACTCAACAGAAGAATGATTTATCTGTTTTAGTTGCGTACGATCACGAAATAATTATGTTACTGAAGTGTATTGTATTTTTAGTTTGTTTAGTGATAGTTGGGATTGCTTACGTTGTAGCCAGGCTTAGTTAATTAATCAACCGTGTGTGTGTCATCTATGTTGTGTAATAAAATACTTAATTATGTTCAAGGTTTTCATAATTTGTCGTGTAATACAGATTATGTCACGCCATTGGATGTACAATGCCGATCGCTGCTCCCAAGACTTTATTGAGAGCTTGCACTATTTCTTAGGTGTGGCCGAGGCAAATAAGCGGGATGGTTTCATGTGCTGTCCATGTGCCCTATGTAAGAATTTAAAGGAATATTCAAGCTCAATGAGTCTTCATTCACATTTACTTAAGTCAAGTTTTATGTCAAACTATATATGTTGGACTAAGCATGGAGAAAGCGAGGTCATGATGGTAGAAGGTGAAGGAGAAGATTTAGACATTGATGACATTATTGCTCAGTATGGTGCCTTTGATGATACTATAATGGGGGGAGATGAAGAAGAGATAGCGGTAGAAAATGATCTCGGTGATGCTCTTGGCGATGCCATTCGTGATGCACAACAAGAATGGGAAAGTGAAAAAGAGAAAGTTAAGTTCGAGCGCATGCTTGAGGATCATAGGAAGTTGCTATAGCCGACGGTCAAGAGAGGCAAAAAAGTGGGTACAACAATCGGAATTTACTACTGGTGGAAGGCAAAGAATGGTGTATCCGACAAGGCATTTGGGAATTTATTGAACCTCATAAAGAAGATGCTTCCAAAGCCAAATGAATTGCCCACCACTACGCACGAAAGCAAAAAAGGTTATGCGCCTTTGGGATTAAAATCCGGAAGATACATGCATGTCCTAATGATCGCATCCTCTACCATGGCAATGAATACGAGAATTTGGATGAATGCGGTATGTAAAGCATCATGGTATAAGATCGGTAGCGATGATCCCGGTGACGCCGAGGGTGAACAACGTCCTAGAAAGAAAATCCCCGCCAAGGTTATGTGGTATGCTCCTATAATACCACGCTTAAAACGTTGTTCGTAAGTAAAGACCATGCAAAGTTGTTGCGGTGGTATAAAGAAGACCGTAGGTAGTAGACAAATATCTTGAGACACCCGGTGATGGGTCCCAAGTGGAGAGCGATAGATGGGGATTTTAGAGTTTGCAAATGAGGCTAGAAACTTAAGGTTTGCCTTAAGTACAGATGGTATGAATCCTTTTGGAGAGCAGAGCACTAGTCATAGCACTTGTCCAGTTACTCTATGTATCTACAACCTTCCTCCATGGTTATGCATGAAGCGGAAGTTCATTATGATGCCGATCCTCATCCAAGGTCCGAGGCAACCTAGCAACGATATTGATGTCTATCTGAAGCCATTAGTTGAAGAACTTCTAGTTTTATGGAACAAACCAGGTGTACGTGTCTGGGATGAGTACAAACAAGAACACTTTGACCTACGAGCAATGTTGTTCGTAACAATCAATGATTGGCCTACTTTAAGTAATCTTTCAGGTTAGACAAAGAAATAATATAATGCATGCACACATTGTTTTGATGACCTTGACAGTATATATTTGAAAAGATGTCGAAAGTTCGTGTACCTTGGCCATCGTCGATTCCTTCCTTTGAATCACCAAGTAAGAAAGAAAGGGAAGCATTTTAAAGGTAAGCTAGACCACCGGAAGAAGCCTCATAACCGAACGGGGGAAGATGTACTCGCAATGGTCAAGGATGTGAAAGTAGTATTTGGAAAGGGACAAGGCAGTGAATCTGTTCCCAAAGATGCTAAGGGACACGCACCCATGTGGAAGAAGAAGTCCATCTTTTGGGAGCTACCCTATTGGCAAGTCCTAGAGGTCCGCAACGCAATCGTCGTGATGCACCTGACAAAGAATTTTTGTGTGAACCTGTTAGGATTCATGGGTGTGTATGGAAAGCCAAAGGATTCACTTGAAGCACGCCAGGACTTGCAGGGCATGAAAGAACGAGACAACCTTCATCCAGAGAAGACAGATGATGGACGTCATTACTTAAGTCCTGCTAGCTACATGCTTAGCAAAGAAGAGAGGGACAGCATGTTCGAATGTCTAAGCAGCATCAAGGTCCCATCGGGATTCTCCTCCAATATAAAGGGTATAATAAATGTGCTAGATAAG